ACAAGATCGCCATGGCTCCTATAATCCAATTTGAGCTCCACTGCTAACCCCAATTCCTTCACCATCAAGAAGGCATTGAGTTGTTGCTCAGCATATGTTGGGATAGTAATGTAACTAGCCCATAAACAAAATAAAGGCCCATAAGGCCCAAATATAAATGAGCACATCCATGAGTCACAATGGAGCTCATATACATTGAAATGGATCCAAAGGGATCAATAGAAGTGCAACACGTGTAAAACACTTCCAAGGGATCTATAAATACTCCCACACCCTTCAAAGGTAAGGGACTTTTCTGAGTGCTCTTCTCTCTCTACTATATTTGTCTCTCTAAAGAAAGCCCCAAGTATAGAATATTGCTAACTTAGGCGTCGGAGTGTCTATCCCGAGGCACAAACCTCGGGTCTATTTTGCAGGTTCATATGCTGGTCAACTCGTGAACAAGTAGATCTCATGAAGCTGCCCAAACATTTGGCGCCGTCTGTGGGAACCTGAATAAAAAGCTTTCTTGCTTTGCTGTCATTGCAGATCTAGCTTCTCCCCAGATCTGCAGATCCATTTGTGACAAGAAACAAGAGGAGAAGCTAGATTTCATTCGGTTCATAAATAAGCTTTGGAAACTTTTTTACACGTGGATACTCAACAACCCACAACAAAACACATCAAATATGTGTTATAGGCTTTTGGTAAAAGTTGCAGGTTGAAGTGGCACTTCCACATCCGTGTGAACTCTAGAATAAAAGGAGTTAAGATGAGAATTCTTAGAAAAACAAGTTAGCAAACATGGCGATCTTAATGGGGAGAAAAAGGTAATTAAGCTCCACAACAAATCTTCGAGCAAACCCGACAATGTTGCCATGTTCGAGCACAAGCTGCGAACAGACCCGACAATGCTCTTTGCTGAAACACGACAATGCTCCACAACAAATCTTCGAGCAGACTCAACAATGCTCCTTGCTGAAACACGAGTTGCGAATAGCAGAAGTCCGAGATGGGAAATGCGGGAGTCCGAACTGCGAAATGCTCGGGCACAAGCTGCGAAATCCTTGCACAAGCACGAGCTGCAAGCATAAAAGACTCGGCTTGAGACAGTGAGAGGAAGCCATGATGCAAGAGTGTGAGCACAGGACCATGAAAGCTCCTAGAAAAATAAGCTCATAAATGGGGCACCCTCAATGAAATAAGGTGAGCTCGAGCTTGATAACGGTGGCAAAGTAGTCCAGCTCGGCAGCAACATAACAGCCCAGCTTGGCAGCAGCAAAGCAGTCCAGCTCGTCAAGGGTCCAGCTCGGCAGCATCACAGCAGCCCAGCTCGGTAGCATCACAGCAGCCCAGCTCGACGGCACCAAAGCAGTCCAGCTCGACAAGGCTGACCAACTTGGTGGCAGCACAGCAGCCCAGCTCGACAAGGCAGAGTAGCTCAGCTCTGCAGCAGTAAAGCAGTCTCCCAGCTCGGCGGCATGCGTCGAGCAAATTTGTAATGAAGCTCGTCAAGGAAGACGCGAGCAATTAACAAAATATGATGATGGTTAGCCTGTACTTGCAACAAATTAACAGCACTTTATGAAACCAACGGGGAGACGCGAGTTTCGACCACAAGCATCCCTGGGCAATAAACCATTTAAGCTTGGTTATAGCTCTGCAATTATTGGGGAGATAAATCCTAATCTTTTATTATTTTACTTTATTTTGGATGTTGTTTTATTTTCCTTTATTGAAAAGCAAGTTGGGATCTTCCTCCTTTTTGAATTTGTTCTTGCAGAATCCAAGAGATGAGTCCCTGACTAGGTAGCTTGCCAGTATAAAAATCTCTACGAGCTGCATCTTGATCAAACACGAGCTCACGAGCTGCCGAGCTCAAACGCATGATGCAGAACTCAAGCATGAGCTCACGAGCTGCCAAGCTCAAAAGCACGATGCAGAACTCAAGCACAAGCTGCTGAGCTCAAAGACATGATGTAGAACTCCAGCACGAGCTACCGAGCTCAAAAGCATGATGAACTCGAGCACGATCTGCCGAGTACGAGATGCCGAGCTGCAAGCATCCTAACCGAGGTCGAGCTAAAAGATGTGGAACACGAGCTGCATGCAACCTGCTCGAGCACGAGCTGCAGAGATGCAAATATCTTACCCAAGGTCGACCTGAAAGATGTGCAGCATGAATCGCAAAGGGTCAACACCCTCAAAAATGTGTCGACACCTTTTCTGCATCAGTGCCAAAGAGTCCGTGTCGGGTTTTTGTCCTTCTTTGCAAATTCTGTTAACGGTAAAATTACAGTCCCGATCCCTTGCTTATAGATTCTACACAATTTAATCCTCAAATTTCATATCTTTGCAATTTATTCTTAAAAATTATGATTTCTTCCAATTAAGTTCTTTCTATCACAAAAAATGAAAATTATGTAAATTAAATAAAATTTCATAAAACTCGTCCAATATCAATAATATCAAGGCATAAATTTTACATTAATATATATGAAGGAAGTACACTTTCTTGATTGTAAGATTGGATGCCTTTGATTTCTCGTTTTTGCAAGTCCTTGTGATACAGGTTGTCAAGAAAGCAATCAAGTTCTGTAGCAAACTAGAGCTTTGGTCCGAGCTTGGTCCAACATATTAAAATTTATTATTAATTGCTTTATGTATTTCTTGCATTCGTCCTACATTTTTTCCATTCATGATATCATTTTGCCATCTCATTTTTTATATATATCATAATCATTCTATTTTGCTCATTTGCGCTCATGATTATAAATATATATGTGTTGCTATTTTAGAGATGGAAAAGTGCAGGGAACAGGTTAATTAGGTTGGCCTAATCAACATATATGAAGCTCCCCATACAATATCAAAAAGTTAGAAGCTCCTCTGAATAAATTCAGACAAGGAGGGGGAGAAATAAAGGGAGTTCTACATTCTACATTTTACATTCTACATCAAAGTTTGAAGAACAAGGGTGTGAATAACTTGAGCTTGCCCCAAGACCTCGTCAACAGATGAGCAGGGCCGAGCAAGACCCAAATCTCCATTTGGTGAGCTCTTACATTAGTGTTTTCCTTGAGCTTGCCCCAAGACCTCGTCAATAGATGGGCAGGGCCGAGCAAGATCCAAATCTCCATTTGGTGAGCTCTTACATCAGTGTTTTCCTCGAGCTTGCCCCAAGACCTCGTCAACAGATGAGCAGGGCCGAGCAAGATCCAAATCTCCATTTGGTGAGCTCTTACATCAGTGTTTTCCTCGAGCTTGCCCCAAGACCTCGTCAACAGATGAGCAGGGCCGAGCAAGATCCAAATCTCCATTTGGTGAGCTCTTACATCAGAGTTTTATCTACCACTTGAAGGCCCCATCAATAAATGAGCAAGGTTATGCAAGAGCCAAATCTCCACTCGGGTTAGGCAAGATCCAAATCTTTATTTGGTGAGCCTTTCAAAAAGAATGACGAGCTGACAAAGCTCCGACAGAGAATGACGAGCTGACAAAGCTCCGAAAGAGAATGACGAGCTGACAAAGCTCCAACAAAGAGTGCTAAGCTCACAGAGCTCTGATGAAGAATGATGAGCTCACAAAGCTCCAACAAAGAGTGACGAGCTCAAAGAACTTCAATGAAGAATGATGAGCTCACAAAGCTCCAACACAGCATGACGAGCTGAAAGAGCTCCAACAAAGCATGACGAGCTGACAGAGCTCCGACAGAGAATGACGAGCTGACAAAGCTCCGACAGAGAATGACAAAGCTCCGACAGAGAATGACAAAGCTCCGAAAGAGAATGACGAGCTGACAAAGCTCCAACAAAGAGTGCTGAGCTCACAGAGCTCTGATGAAGAATGATGAGCTCACAAAGCTCCAACAAAGAGTGACGAGGTCACAGAACTCCAATGAAGAATGATGAGCTCACAAAGCTCCAACACAGCATGACGAGTTAAAAGAGCTCCAACAAAGCATGACGAGCTGACAGAGCTCCGACAGAGAATGACAAGCTGACAAAGCTTCGACAGAGAATGACAAGCTGACAAAGCTCCGACAGAGAATGACGAGCTAACAAAGCTCCAACAAAGAGTGCCGAGCTCACAGAGCTCTGATGAAGAATGATGAGGTCACAAAGCTCCAACAAAGAGTGACGAGCTCACAGAACTCCAATGAAGAATGATGAGCTCACAAAGCTCCAACACAGCATGACGAGCTGAAAGAGCTCCAACAAAGCATGACGAGCTGGCAGAGCTCCAACAGAGCATGACGAGCTGGCAGAGCTCCAATACAGCATGACGAGCTAAAAGAGCTCCAACAAAGCATGACGAGTTGTCAAAGCTCCAACACAGCATGACGAGCTGAAAGAGCTCCAACAAAGCATGACGAGCTGGCAGAGCTCCAACACAGCATGACGAGCTGAAAGAGCTCCAACAGAGAATGACGAGCTGACAAAGCTCCATCAAAGCATGGACGAGCTGACAAAGCTCCAACAGAGAATGATGAGCTGACAAAGCTCTAACAAAGCATGACGAGCTCACACAACTCCAACAAAGAATTACGAGCTCACACGGCTCCAACAAAGAATTACGAGTTGACATAGTGCAAACAAAGATTTACGAGCTCGTAGAGCTCCAAAAAGAATGACGAGCTGACAACATCCAATGAAGAACGACGACCAAAAAAATCTTAGATAAAGAATTACAACCTGAGACCTTACATGAGTGGGCTCTCACAAAGAATTACAGTTAAGACCCTACATGGGTAAACTCCTATGAAGAATTATGAGTTGAAACCCAACATGGGCGAGCTTCAATAGAAAATTTGAGCTGAAATGCTCAACTCACAAAGCTCAAAGCTCCTAAAAATGATCAAGTAAATTCATTCTGCAGCTTTGTTTATGAGTGGCTAGATTCTTCCTCCATCATTTGCTCTTGAGTCAAGGCAAGGAGGAGTTAACATTGTTCATCCATTAGCAATTGGCTTTTCAGCCTGTTTACTTTACAAGTGCTTAGGCCCATCAGTTGTTAGCTTCTCAGGTTCTCAGTTTTTCAACTCATTTGTCTATGAAAACTCATTCAATCATAACTCCATGGAGCACAACCCTCAAAGGGTTCGATTTTTGTGTTGTGACTTGAGAGACTAAGATATTCATTTAAACATCCCAATGAGGGATCTCAAGGTAGACATCTCTAGCTACCAAGTTGGCATTCAATCTATCAGCTTTACAAAAGCTCATTTGGATCTTAGCTCTACAAAGCATGATCGTCAGAGATTTAGTTTCTACATTATGGCCCATGAGATTTCAGGTCGTCACTCCTAAGCTTCCTGCTTCCAGGTCATCACTCCTGAGCTTCCTGGTTTCAGGTCGTCACTCCTCAGCTTCCTGCTTCCAGGTCATCACTCCTCAGCTTCCTGGTTTCAGGTCGTCACTCTTGAGCTTCCTGCTTCCAGGTCATCACTGCTAAGCTTCCTGGTTTCAGGTCGTCACTCCTGAGCTTCCTGCTTCCAGGTCGTCACTTCTGAGCTTCTTGCTTCCAGGTCGTCACTCCTGAGCTTCCTGGTTTTAGGTCGTCATTCCTGAGCATCTTGGTTTCAGGTTGTCACTCTTGAGCTTCTTGGTTTCAAGTCGTCATTCCTGAGTTTCTTGGTTTCAGGTCGTCACTCTTGAGCTTCCTGGTTTCAGCTCGTCACTCTTAAGCTTCCTGCTTCCAGGTCGTCATTCCTCAGCTTCCTGGTTTTCCAGGTCGTCACTCCTCAGCTTCCTGGTTTTCCAGGTCGTCACTCATTAGTTTCCTGGTTCTAGGTCGTAATACCTGAACTTCCTGGTTCCAGGTCGTCATTCCTCAGCTTCCTGGGTTTCCAGGTCGTCACTCCTCAGCTTCCTGCTTCCAGGTCATCACTACTCAGCTTCCTGGTTCCAGGTCGTCACTCTTGAGCTTCCTGCTTCCAGGTCGTCACTGTTGAGCTTCCTGGTTTCAGGTCGTCACTGCTGAGCTTCCTGCTTCCAGGTCGTCACTCTTGAGCTTCCTGGTTTCAGGTCATCATTCCTGAGCTTCCTGGTTTCAGGTCATCATTCCTGAGCTTCCTGGTTTCAGGTCGTCATTCCTGAGCTTCCTGGTTTCAGGTCGTCACTCCTGAGCTTCCTGCTTCCAGGTCGTCACTCCTGAGCTTCCTGGTTTCAGGTCGTCATTCCTGAGCTTCTTGGTTTCAGGTCGTCACTCCTGAGCTTCCTGCTTCCAGGTCGTCATTCCTCAGCTTCCTGGTTTTCCAGGTCGTCACTCATTAGTTTCCTGGTTCCAGGTCGTCATTCCTCAGCTTCCTGGGTTTCTAGCTCGTCACTCATCAGTTTCCTGCTTCCAGGTCGTCAATCTGAGCTCCCTGGTTTCAGGTCGTCACTCTCAGCTTAGAGGCTGGAAATCTCAAATCAAGGTTTCCAAGCCAGATTCCTTAAGAATAAATCAAACCCCTCTACAACCTATAAAAGCAAGAAGCTGAACCATTGTGATTTTTTAGCAAGCTTAGAAATCACTTGGAGGGGGAGTAATGTTGGGATAGTAATCTAACTAGCCCATAAACAAAATAAAGGCCCATAAGGCCCAAATATAAATGAGCACATCCATGAGTCACAATGGAGCTCATATACATTGAAATGGATCCAAAGGGATCAATAGAAGTGCAACACGTGTAAAACACTTCCAAGAGATCTATAAATACTCCCACACCCCTCAAAGGTAAGGGACTTTTCTGAGTGCTCTTCTCTCTCTGCTATATTTGTCTCTCTAAAGAAAGCCCCAAGTATAGAATATTGCTAACTTGGGCGTCGGAGTGTCGACCCCGAGGCACAAACCTCGGGTCTATTTTGCAGGTTCATATGCTGGTCAACTCGTGAACAAGTAGATCTCGTGAAGCTGCATACATAGGCCATGTCACAGTCGGCACTCCGTACCACAGACTTTCTAGAATCGAGTTCCATCCACAATGAGATACAAACCCTCCAATTGCCTT